TTAGGAAAGCAATAAATTGGCATGCAAGCCAGGGATTGCCTCAAATCTGCTCCGGATGATGAATGATGCATGCTCGGGTTGCCTTGTGCGGAGAATCCCTTGCGATGCCCCGGTTTGTCTCTGTTTGCAATTGTTCTTGGAATGCGTGCCAAGCTCCGGAAGGTTGCTGATTCTTGATTTGCTGTAACAGAGAGCAAGAAAGGGACATGACAAAGTATTTTCACATATGTATGCATGACTACCCTTCAGGGAGTGTAGTCCTTGATCCTCGTGCCACCAATCACGCATCTCGATGCATGATGGCCGAGGAGTCGAATTGCACGATTCAATATGAAATGAATGCACATATGGACACAACAAAGGCCTAGACTCCATCATGGATAATCCGGAGTGTCGGCGACCGAGGAATTGAGACACGTTCCGTCACTCGGAGTATGAAACGCCCCTCGTTTCCCGTGCTCGGGCTAACTCCTATCCCCAACACGATGCAATATGCATGACATGCATGAATGCAATCCTAACATACAACCTAGCACATGCAATGCTATGAAATGAAATGACATACACGATGCACGAGGTAACATGGCATACACAATGCACTAACATACAACCTAGCATACGTAATGCTAGGAAATGAAATGGCATACACAATGCAATATGGGCTTACACCAACGTGAGTGGACCTCAGCCGCACTCACATAGGAGGCCATACGATGAAAATGAGACAACTCGAAATGTGTGCCCACGTGCACGCAAACCGAGGACCGAACCCAAGGCATAGCATGCAACACTAACAAGGCATGGCAAGGCATGAAACATGGTATGAAAACATGAAAATTTCAGTACTGAAATATGATGCAAAACAGCCCCGAAACATGGAAACATGGCACCCGATGCATGGAATGAACCCGAAACACAAAACTAGGCATATGCATTGGCCTATAGCTATACAAAACATGCATTATTTGATCATGAAGTATGAAGACAGAAGCAAGACAGTCCCAAAACATGCATATTTTCAGGTTATAACAAGTCTCAAAAATGAATGCAAATAGGGCTAATCTATCATGCAAGAAAAGGCCTAAAATAGAGATTAAACACAAAGGGACAGCAGCTGGCCCCAAACAAAGAAGAGTCCTTCAACAAATTTGAAGAGGGGCTCAAAATAATGCACTTTACAGTTTATGACCAAGTCTAAAACAGTGCACAAGTAAGCTTAAAATACTATGCAAAAATAGGCCTAAAAGAAGGTTTAAACACAAAGAGCAAAAAGGGAGCCTCAAACAGCAAAGGACCCTTGATCAAACATAAAGAGAGGGTCAAAATATGACTCTTTACAGTTCGGGTCGGAGCCCAAAAATATAAGGACAAGGAGCTAAAAAAACATGCAAACAAAGGGGCCAAAAGAGGGATAAAGAGACAAGTGATAGAGGGAAGTCCCAAACAGTGAAGAGCCCTTCAACAAAGTTGAAGAGGGGCTCAAAATAAGGCAACTCGCAGTTTATAGCAAAGCTCGAAATAGTTTACAAATAGGCCTAAAATACTATGCAAGAAAGAGGCCTAAAAGAGGTTTTTAACACAAAGCGTAAAAAAAAAGTCTCAAATAGGGAGAAGCCCTTAATCAAACATGAAATATAGATAAAAATAAGACTATTTTCAGTTAGATTTGGAGCCCAATTATGCGAGCACAAGGGGCTAGAATATAGATCAAAATAAAGCAAGAAAAGAGGAAAAGGAGACTTACCCTTGAAGAACCAATCTTTGACAGCCTTTGGACCAAGTTTGGGGACTCTTAAGCTCTGGAAATAGCCTTCAAGCTACTGGAATGGAGTGAGGAGGAGGGGTGCTATAGGTTGTAGAGTAAAGGGTGTAGGAATGGTCCAAGAACAAAAGGGTTTTGATGTTTGGAATAGAAGGGAAGAGGGATTGAATGCAAGAGGCTTAGAACCAATTTTTTTAACCCTGAAAAGATAGCTGGGGGTGCTGGTTATATAGGCAAAGGAGTGGAGGGAAAAAGGGGGGGAAATGAAATTCAAATTTCAAAAATAGGCCTAAAAGAGAGATAAAGAGGCAAGTGGTAGCTGCTGACCTCAAACCGAAGAGAGCCCTTCAACAAAGTTGAAGAGGAGCTCAAAAAAAGACATTTTACAGTTTACATCAAGCTACGAAACAGCTCACAAATAAGCCTAAAATACCATGCAAAAATAGGCCTAAAAGAGAGTTAAAGAGGCAAGTGATAGTAGGAGACCTCAAACAGCAAAAGGTCCTAATCAAACATGAAAAGGAGCTCAAAATATGACTATTTACTGTTTGGGTTGGAGCCCAAAAGTGCTTGCAAGCAAGGCTTAGATATAGAGCAAGATAGGAACAAAAAAGAGGGAAAAGAAGCTTACCCTTGAAGACCAATAGACCAGCAGCTCTTGGTCAGAGAAATGGTGCTCCTAAGCTTTGAAAAACAGCTCCAAGTTGTTGGAATGGATGGTGGTGGGGTGTATACCAAAAACCGGGGCAAACGGAGGTGGTTAAGCGGTCCCGAACCGAGGCACACGGCCGTCGGCTCCGAAAAAAACCCGGAAACCGGGCTCCAAACGGGAAAAATGGCCTACGACCACAAAACGTAGCCTACGGCCACTGAGAGATGATCTACAAGACTTCTCCCTCCCTTCAGGAAGAGAAAACAGAGAAAACAGAGCCTGGTTCGCAAACCAAGGCAAGGCATGAAAGAGTCCGGAAGTCCAGAGGCAAGGCTTGCAGCTGGGACTCTGAAACTTCTGAACGAGCGCAATATGAAATATCACCAAGCGCTCAACTGGTGACGTCTGAGTCTTAAGGTCGGTCAAAAATGAGGTGTCTACATGGTGCTTTGTACATTGTGCATTAAAGGTTATATATATTAACATTCACATCATAATTACATTAACATTGAATATATACAGGTCATAGATGCATATGCAGAAATTTTAAGAAGAAAGCAGGAATCAATGATGACAGATTCACAACAATTTGACAAATCATTCTTTTTCAACAACTTGTGTTTGGTATAATTTGTTATTTTATTTTATTTTATCCTGAATTAAAAACAAGTTTGATCCCTTATTTATAAAACTCATTACTCACAAAGTGCTGTCAATGTTTAAAGAGCATGATTAAAGATGAAAAAGCAGAACTACAAACCAAATTCATTGATCCTCACATCAAGCAAGCAAATCAGTACCGATATCTGCACTTTCCACTCCACTTTAAGTGTCATTGGACCATAATAGTGAGCGACATGGATGATGGAGTGTGGAAGCACTACAATTCAATGAGGCCCAGAGATGGTTTTGAAGACATACACCTAGCTCAAGCAAATATAGTGGTAATTTCAATATTTCATTCAATAATATGAAAAAATGTACATGTTGAGTTACATATCAACGTAGTTAAAATATTATCTATTCTACACATCTAATCATATTCACAATCACAGAAAACATATATCGAATTACATATTCAGAAATTGCTCTCCACATTGGATATGGCAAATACATTAACACCCTCAGATTATGCCAAGCTATTGCAATCAGTTGATGCATGCCCTCAACAAGACCCAAATTCGTGAGTATTTACAATTAATATTCTCATTGACATAGTAGCTATAACCAATGTGAATATAACAAAATATTGATTCTCTTTTTTTTTTTTTTTTTCTTTTTCTCCTGCAGTCTTAATTGCGGAGTTGCACTTTGCTACACAATGAGGCAACGTGCCCTTCATGAACCAATTGAACCTGTGCTGGACAAGGAAGCTTGTCTTGCTGTGAGAGCTCTATTAGTTGAAGCATTCTTGAATGATCCTGAAAGAACAAATCATCCAACTTTTGTTGTTGACACCAACGAGGATGCATCTCAGAACTAAACTTTACATTTTCACACCCTACCATTTTCTTTTGATGTATTGATGAAACAATGTTAACATTAGCTTTTGTCTAAGTACAATATGTTTTGTATATAATATACCACTCACTAACATGTGAACTTGGGTATTGTTAGTTAGTAAACAATCATTCCACAAAGATGTTGATATGAATAGCTATATACATTTTGTCTACCAAGAAATGTACTTTTAATATCAATGTTCTTTCTTGGTTTTATCATGGTGTATGAGTATTATTAGTCATTATATGTATTTGTTAAGCACAACACAATGTGAAAGTTTACATAAGTATATCATATGCTCACCTTGTCAACACATATTGGGGATATATGTAACTTTTCTACATTTTATTTTGCAAAAAATCAAAACAAACTATTTCAAAAAAAAAAAAATGTAAAGAAACTACAAAATTACAAATTTCATAGAACAAATCAACTTTTTATTGACAAATTGTATCAAAATATGAAAATTCACATTAAGAAGCTTGTACCAACAAGTACACTCATACATGAACTACTAAATTGTTTACTAATGCAAATGTTGGTAACATTCACAACACTATATTATTTATCTAAAACAAATTCTGCACTATAAATACTCACAACTCAACATAATATTCACAACGATATCTAACACATGAACCAATACTCACAACTAAACATAATATTCACATGAACTCTATTATTTGATCTTTAACAGCTTTAATTGTGGCTGCCTATCTTTTTCCATCTACCACACCTCAAATCTGTTCAGAAACATATATCATATTCCATCCATGAACACATATTGTGTATATATGTAACAAGATAATATTTTGTTTTGATAAAACTGATAAACAAACTATTTCATAAATATACAAAATGAAAAAAAAAAAACAACAAAATGACAAATTGCATAGAATTAATGAATCATTTCTTATTCAAAAATTGTATCGAAATACAAAACAGGTACACCAATGTATCAACTAATAAAATGTGTATCCAATGCAAATGTATGTAACATTCACAATGGTATCTTATTTATCTAAAAAAAAAAACTGTAAATGTTCAAAACTGAATGTGAAATTCACAATGTCCACCAACATATCAACCAATATAACTCTGTATTGGTTCTTTACACGACTTCCGATTGTGCCTGCCCATCTTTCCACATCTGTCACACCTGATTTGACTTACTTTTTCCCCTTGAGATGGTATTCTACTCTTTCTCGGCCTACCAGCTGGCCGTTTTACAATTGGAGGTAATATAATGAAATCGCTAGAGCAAAAATCTGGTTTCTCCACAGATGGTATTGGGAAAATAACTGCTGCATATGCTTCCCTATAATTTTCTACATGAAAATATTTTTCAACACAATTATTAAGATTATATGCACTCCTTTGGATAGCCGCAACAGCATGTTCATAAGGAAATCCATTTATTTGCCACTGGTAGCAAGAACAAACACAGCGTCCAACATCAACCGTAACTGATGGAAACGAATGCACCTCGAACACATCATCATTAGCTTTACTCACATTCCATGACCTACTAGAATTGAATGAATCTTGGAGGTTAGTCTCAAAGGTAGGGCAAATAATTCCATTCCACTTGTTTGCAATATCCCTTCGCTCTGACATTTGACACATTATTTGATTCCGGATAGTATCAACCAATTTTGTTATTGGAAGATTTCGTGCTTCTTTAATCCAATTTTTGAATGATTTAGCAGCATTGGATGTCATTTCACCATATCGTTGTCCCCTAACACATAACAGTAAAAATTGTCACAATTTAATACCATATGTGACATTTCACATTGTTATAACAACACAAAAATATAAACAATGTACATATAATCATCATTATATTCCATGAAACACACAATTGTACACACTTTACCTAAAGTAAGCATTTGCCCAATGTTTTGGTTCTAACCTTGACAAGAAGTTATATGCTCGTTGCTTCCCTTCACTTTTCAACTCTTCTAGTAATGCATGAAAACCTGTCACAGTAGGTTCATATGCACAATCACCCAACTTCCGTATTAAGTGTTCCTTGAAACCATTCTCCATACCCTTCAACTTGTCCCTAAAATTATTCTTTAGGTGTTGTAAACACCATCCATGATATGCTGATGGGAATGCCTTTGGCATTGCTTCCAAAAGCGCTAGATTACGATCGGATACAAATGTCATGCGTCTATCATCAGCAATTACTTTTGACAGTTCATATAGAAACCATGACCAATTCGATTCACCCTCCGAATCAACAATTGCAAAGGCTATTGGAAATAATCCTAAAAACAAAACCAATGTTAACAGTCACAACTCACACACAAAAAGTAAACAAATGTAAAACTTCACATCAAAAAGCTAAACAAACCTTGGTTACCGTCTTTAGCTGTCGCTACAAGCAACTGCCCTTTGTATCTTCATTTTAAAAATGTTCCATCAAGAAAAAGCAAAGGACGACAATATTTGAAGCCATTTATGCACGCAGCAAATGCTACAAAAAACCTTTTAAACTGACTAGTCTTCAAATCATAGTCAATATTAATATGGCTTCCAGGATTATAACGCTGAACAGCATCACCATACCATCTCAGTTGGTCAAACGATGTTAAGTAATCACAATGCATAGCCTCTCTCACTTTCTCAACACCTAACCATGCTATATGGTAGCTGATATCAAGTCCATAGTCTGCCTTGAAAGTATATGCCACATCAGTAGGGCGCGTTAGTGGTCTGTCCCTAACACGCTCAGATACAACATTTGACACCAAATCAGAGCTAAGCCTTGGATTTTTTGAAGTACGAACATCAGCACCACAACTATGTATCTTAGTCCATCTCTTAAGGTAGAAAAATTGGTTGCTCTTTGGACTCTACCATGCATAGACCACAAACATCTCCTATCATCTCTATGTGAGCATACAGCAGTACTTCGTTGTGAATCGTTCTTCAAATATTTGAATTTAAACCCACATTGCACTGCATATTTGCATAAAATAGTACGAAACTCAAATGCTCCTCCTATGAAACATTGACCAATATGCGTAATACCATTTGCCCAAACTGAAGACAACAAAACCTTCTCACTGTGTGCACAATATCTACGAAGCAAATTTGTTTGATCCTCATCTTCAATGCATGGATTTGCTAAACTACCATGTCTATCAGTGCCTGATTTTTGCTCAACAACAACATCAATTCGTTCAACTCCAATTGATTTACCAAGCAATAACATGTTTTGCAATTCCTCATTGTTATCCAAATGACAATTTGTATACCCCGGCAGTTGGTAAAACATAGTGATTGAATTAGCAGACAAATCACCATTTGTTGCACACACATTTCACTAACTCGTCAAAGGAAAATGATTGTACCACATTTATCACAAACATGTTTGACCCATAGCAGCACAACAACAACATGAAAAAATTCATTTGTCTTGTATCACACTGCAAAATCATCAATAGTACATAAAATAATTTGAATATTCAATCACATTCATATGTGTGAAGATTTGCTAACACAATGAAATGTATCTGGATTTTTAAATAGTTCAAATATTCATATCATAAAAAAAAAAAACTCTACCTCTTCAACAAACAATTATAAGCCCTACATTTATCATCATACACACCACATACAACAAATTTTAAGCTCACAGTATACACACATACATACAATTTTAATTATAAAATTCATATACTGATAGCGTGAACTTCCAGTTCACTAAATGCTTAACAACAGTTTGTTCAAATGCTGATGCAACAAAACTTCATCATTCAAAATTTCACATGAACACAATGATTTCATCACAACAACGAATCAATCACTAATCGCATGACATAAACATCACCGTAATCAATTGATGATAAACAATGAAGAACGATGAAGAACAACGAAGAACAAAATTGATGATAAACGAAGAAGAATGACAGAACAGAACAATGAAGAACAATGAAGAACAAAATTTATGACGAATAACAATGAAGAACAGAATAAATCACAACACCAATCTCAAACAAAAACTAACCTTCTCCGGAATAACGACTGAAAACCAGATAAAATCGCAAATCAAAAATCACAAAGACAAACCAGAAATTACGAATCGCACAAAACCTAGAGCTTCAATAATCGTAAATCGCGCCCAATCTATAGCTTCAGAAACTACCAAATCGAAAATCAAAAATGGCAAAGAGAAATCAGAAATTGCAAAGAATTTGGAATCTAAACGCAGATCGTTGACTTTCCAAAAATCATATTCAAACAAGCAGCTATATATAAGAGTAAAATGGTAAAAATATATAATAAAACTGAAAATAGGACCTCCGGGTCTAAAAGTGAAAACTTTAAGATTTAATAAAATAAAAATAAAAAACATGAATTGATTGGTATAAAAAAACCTAAAATAAAATTTTCTGGTAATTTTTCCCTTTTTTTTTGCCACTTCAAGAGTAGATTTGGAAATTATTTTTTTAGTAATTTTTTTGTTGACTTTTTTTTTTTCCATAGTGAATTTTAATTTTTTCCCTTTTAAGTCCTACTAAAACTAGGCGCAGATAAAAAGGAAAAAAAAATACAACAAAAAAAGAGCTAAAAAAGATGTGTTTTTTTGGGCTACTTTAGTGATTTAAAAAAATGAATAAATAATTTTTCATTTTAGGTTTATGTGCTTTAGATAAATTTTTTTAGAGGAGTTAAATTAGATAGACTAAACAAAATATTCAGCACCCAATTTTTGCCAAGTTTTTTTTTTATCCATTAAATAGTAGAATTCAATAATCCAAAATATTCAGCACCCAAACACATTTTAATAACAATTTCTTTTTCTACAATAATTCCCCCCCCCCTAGTGGTCTGTCCCTAACACGAAAAAAAAACAAAAACCTCAGAGCTATTAATATATAGTACATATGATGAATATGATCATCAAGATTGAAACTTTGTTTGATTTGCAAAACTCTCAAATTATGGTGATAACAACACACATTCATGGAGTATAGAAAGAAGGTCCACACTTGCATTTCCAACCCTCTGGCTCATAATTCGCGTACTCTACACCTACACGCCCTGTGTTTGTTGGTACTTGAATGGCCTCGCATGGTTTACATCCCAAGCACTTGTTCTCGCAGCTCGGCGGCCTCGACCCTATTTTCTTCTCTCCTTCATAGCTCTCTTCTATGCTTTCAAAACCCTTCAAAATCAAAATCAAAATCAAAATTCATTTTTTTTGAACATGTGTTTTAACCCATGATTGATAAGAAGAAATGTAAGAGAAAGATCAAAGACCTGTTTTGAGCTCGAGGTGACTTGTTGATTCTGGGTTCTCTGGTCTGTGTCTGATCAAGGATTTGCGGTTAGTATCTAATCTTGGAATTATTGGCTAGTGTGTGTATAGGTATGTGTTTACCTTGTGTTTGTGTGTGAGAGAGAGAAAAACAGTTGGTGATTTTTATTGAGAAAAAAACAATTGGGTTAAGATTTGATAAAAGGGAAGTCGTGGGTTAAGATTTTTATCAACTGGGTTGCTCTGAAAACTTCTCAGAATTATAGTTTGTATGTATAGATATGTGCCTTTGTTGTGTTTGTGTATGTGTTAGAGAGGTGAAGCAGATAAAAATGCTCTACAAGCGACCAGAGAAAAGTACTTCAGAAAAAAAAGTTGGTGATTTTTGTTGAGAGAAACAATTGGGTTAAGATTTGATGAAGGGAAATTGAGGGTTAAGATTTTCATCAATTGGGTTGCTGTGAAAACTTCTCAGAATTGTGTAGTTTGTGTGTATAGATATTGTGTTTGTGTATATGTATTAGAGAGAGTGAGAGAGAGGTGAAGCAAATAAAATTGCTCTAAAAGCAACAAGAGAAAAGTGCTTCAGGAAATAAGGTGGTGATGTTTATTAAGAAAATCAATTGGTATAACTGAGGGCAAGGTTAAATAGAAGCTTTTTCATTGAGAAAGGCTGAGAGAAGATATTTAAGAAGCAATTCCAAAGTGGGTAGTAAAAGGGAATTTGAGGGTCAAGATTTTCTACAATTTTAGGTTTCTGTGAAAAACTTGATTGTAAAGAGGGTGAAGAAGCTAAAACCAAACAAGTTCTGATCACTGTAAGGAAAAAGTTTAGACTGAGAAAGGTCTTTCAAAATCAAGAATAACAAAATGTAAATAATATTTTTTTTTCAAACCAGGAAATTGGGAAAGCAAACAGACTGGAAAGGAAATAAATAGGGAAAAAAAACTTGCTCAGAAAACAAATGATTGTTTTCTAAAACAAATTAGTGGTTGCAGAAGAAAATGAAAGCTGAGGGAAGAAGCTAAAACCATCTAGATGTGCCTTGTGGCCATTGAAAGAAGAAAAGGAGCTTTATTTGCTTAGGATTGAAAAACAGAAGCAAATAATAGTAACTAATCACCTGGTTGAGGAACACCATGACCATCATTAGCTGAAAAAGGTCTACTTGTAACACCAGCCCAACTCACTATTTGCAGAACTATTACTACAAAACAACAAAATCTTACTCTTCCTCTCATTTCTTTGAAGCTCAAATGATGATGGTGACAGAGAGAGACAGAGACTATCACTCAAATCTGTAGGAAACCATGCATGGTTGTTGGTGGGTATAAGAAGGGAGAGGAAAAAGAAGGCCCACAAAAGCAAGCTCCCATTTCCCAAAAAACAGAAAGGTAGAGGCTCCAAAATTTCTTGGGTTCCTCTAATTACCACTTTAACTTGCATTGGTAGGTAGAGAGATCTTGCTTCACAAACAAGTGATTCTATTTTTTGGGGTAAAATAGCGGTGTGTAAGTTTTCCTTTTCCCAGTTGACAACTCACTTGAAAACCTTATCATTTACCTGTACTCTCTGTTGGGCTCAGTGACTTGCATTTTGAACACAACTCTAGGTTTGTTGGGTAGTTTTTCTTAAGTTGAAAGTTAAGAATAGAATGCAAAAGTTACAAACTTTTCCCCAATTTTTAGATAATCATATTTTTCAACTAGCATAGCGAAAACTTTCCCTTTTCCCCGTTGATTACTCACTTGAAAATTTAGCATTTATCTGTATTCTCTGTTGGGCTTGCACTTTGAACATAACTGTGAATCTGTTGGTGTAATTTTTCTTAAGCTGAAAGCTGATCAAAGGGTAAAAGCTAAAAACTTGATATAACATTCAGAAAATAATTTTTTTTTTTAGTTAGCATATTGAAAATTTTCCCTTTTCTAATTGACCACTCACTTGAAGGACCTCATCCCTTTGTTTGTATTGGGCTCAATGACTTGCACTTTGAACACATCTTTGAGTTTGTTTTGTGTAACTTTTCGTAACCTAATGATTAGGGATGTAATCAATTCGGTATAGGTGAAAATTTTCACCGAACTGATCATGTTGGTTTATTATTTTGAACACTGATACAGATCGGTGTAAGATCTTTCAAACTTGAATCACTTTTAAATATAATTACTAATCTATATAAAAATATTAAATTAGTTATTTGTCCACCATTTTAAACATGTCCAATCCATCTACTTGATAAACACTTTCCAATTCCTAGATTAACAACAATAAAAACAAAAAAAAGTTAAAAAAAATACTAAAGTTTCAATAATAATGAGTTAGAGTTAAGATTATATATGATAAGAGTTTATAAACTAAGATTATAAAGATGATAAGAATAATTAATTAAGGTTAATAATTTATTATGCTTATTAAAGCGGTCGGTTTAACAATATATACTGTTAGATAATATCATTATACTATTAGATTATATATAAATTATAAATACAATATATGTTGAAGCGGTCGGTTTTGGTTTAGTTCAGTACATAAGGTGCTTGAACTGATACTGAATCGAAAATTGAAAAAAATAAAATTTAAAAATCGCACAAACCGATTATTGTTAAAAAAAACATATCAAATGTAGCTAGTTTCGTCTGATTTAATTGATTTGGTTGATTTTTTTGATTTTTTTTACATCTCTACTAGTAATTGATAATCAAAATGTAAAAATTAAGTACTCTGTTTTTTAGTTTTCAGATAATCAGCTTATTGTTTGCTTATAAATTATGAGTGGAAGTTACGTCAAGTGTCTATCACAAATTCTTGAAATTAAAACAATAAAAACTATAAACAGCTTCAAAATTGCACCAAACAGGACCTCTCTCTATCTCACAGTATCTGATCAAGCTAAAACAGTACCATACTACCATAAGTGAGGTGGTCCTTGAGCTCAGAAAAACTGCTACTTTGGATAAGGTTGGTGTAATTTTTGTTAAGTTAGAGTTAATAATGACAAAATAAAAATTAAAAACTCTTCTTTCAGCTTTGAGATAATTATTATAAGCAGAAACTAAGACTAAGTTTGGGAAGGCTAAATAAGTCTACACTTTTTATCTTTTTTAGGTCAAATCAATCAACATCTTCTCTCTATTTTTCTACACATTTTTTTATAAAAAGTTAAAAAATGCACTTATTTAGAACATCCCAAACAACCTCTAAATTAAACACCAAGTGCCATTTTGGGAACATAGTAAAAAGTCACGTTTTTGAACAAAATGTCCAAAAACGCAAGTGCCAAAAACGCCAGAAAATTGGTTTGGCAAGTGCTAAAAATGCAAGTGTAAAATTACAAATTAGGATCTATGGAAAAAAAATAAAAAAAATAAAAAAATTACGTTGTATAAAGATATTTTGGTTATTTTAATTTAATTTGACATTATAAATAAATATTAAACTAAAAAATAAAAAATCAGCTTTAAAATTGAACCAAACAGGGACTCTCTCCATCTCCACTATCTGATGAAGCTAAAAGAGTAGTAGGTGGTCCTTGAGCCCACTATCTGATGACCTTTATGTTATGTTATGTTATGTATGGCACTGGTAGCGAGGCCTATAAATCACTGTAGGATAGAAGAAATATTGGATGCGTAGACTGCAGAGCCTGTGTTTTTTCTGAAGGTTCTATACCTGTAAGTGGAAGAAAAAAATCCAGTTGCAGGAGCTCTCTCATTTGTTTTCATTCAATACATAGAATCAATGTCTGAAACATATCACTACTGCCACAAAGATTAATGAGAGTATCACTTTTTAATTTAAAAAAAAGTTAAAAATCATTAAAAAAAAATTAAAAAATTAATAATTTTTAACAAAAAATTAAATTTTTTTTTAAAAGTTTTTATATATCTTTTTTAAAAAAAATTAAAAAGTTATTCTAAATATATTATTTTTTTACCTCATTTTAATTAAAAAGTCAAAAAATCACTAAAATAGTATGTTCCTAAACGAAACCTAAATGAGAGTTAATCAGTTTGTGAATAGACTATTTTAATCAACTATTTGATTTTTACAAAAAGATGTATAAAAAAAATAAAAGAGAGTGATGTGATGGAGTGTTTGTTTTATTAGCTAATTTAGCTGGGGATGAGTTATTTTAGCCCATCCCAAAATTAAATGTTATTTGAGAATTAATTTTTTGATATTTTACAAATAGACATGTGCAAAGTAGAGAAAATAGTTTACTTTTTTGTAATGACTTTTTAAATAAACCTTTTGGTTTGGGAATTAGTTGGTTTTTTTTTTTTTTTTAAAAAAGATGTGTAGAAAAATAAAAAATAATAATGTGATAAATTATTATAATGATTTTTTTAACTTTTTAGCTTTTTTAATTGGTTGCCAAACCATATTGTCGAAATAGGCAAAGGTAATTCTTTTAAGTCAACTATATTACATAGGAAAAATTATATAATGGTCTTGGAACAAATTCATATAGCGTTTCAATTTGATATTCATTGGTTAAAATAATAAAACTCAGTACTCTTTATTAATTTGTTGAGAGACTATTTGATAAGTGTTAAGTGATAAATGGTGCGAAGCAATATTCCAAGACCACAAAACAACTACTCCGGAGTGTAAAAATGACTCGCGGCCCGTGGACAGTCCGGGATGGGCCTGACTCGATTAGGCCCGGGCTCGACCCTAGACTAGGATCCTAGGTATGGGCCTGAGCTTGAGCCAGCATTTTGAAACTTGGCCCGCCTGGGCTGGCCCACTTGAGGCCTAGTGTCATTTCTGGTGGAAAAAAATAAAATTTTTGTGAAAAAAATAGAAAAAATGTTCAGGCCCTGCCTGAGTTAAGGCCAAGGCCCAAACCAAGCCCTGCCCCGCCTAAGGCCCGAATGTCTCCTGGGCTTGGGCCTAATTTTTTGGCCTGTGGGTCGAGCCGAATTTTGGCAGGAGCCCACGAGACCCGATATGGGCTGGTTTGAACGCGGGCCGGGCTAAATTTACACCCTTACTACTCATTACCTATAGGTGGGTGGTGGGGAACAACATGCTATTATTGTACTTTTATTCAATTGAAAAAGGTTACTACATCCCTTAATTTATCACTTTTAAATGACCCCTAATGATGTGATATTGAAGTTAGGCTTCACATGGTGAAATGTTTAACAAATTAAAATTTAACATTTGCCAAATACATCATTAGAGATAATTTTTATGAACTAATTAAGTATCTCAAACATTTTTTAAAAATTTAATACATAAACTAATCATAAATTAGACATAACTTTCATATCTCAAGCAAGCCCCTAAGGCTCGCATCCATATGAGAGACTTTTCGATTTTGTCATTGATTTTTGTACAAATTTTCCCGTCATTATGGTGTGAATATACTTGGGTTTCTAGTCTTGTAGATATATATGCATGTGTTCTGTTCTCTATACACTGATCAAAATGTTCATTACTCCATAATGAACACTAAATTCATATGTTGTTATTATTGAAGCACCTATTTCCATCAGGAGTAAAGTTGAGATTCTAGTTTAGTGTCAGCATTTAAAGTTTGTTATTTATAATGATTGTAGGGGAGTTTAAGGTCAGGAAGGTGATTAGAGAGGCAAAACTATGCTAATGGTCCAATAATGGTGGAATGGTTGGAGGATGAGCAATAGCAACTGTCTGGGAAGTTAGAGAGTGAGTAGCTAGGTAAGGGTAAAACAGGTAGCTCAAGAAAAAATGTATAGCAGCGCACAAATGGACATCATCTTTCCAAAATCCCCAAAATTCCTCCATTTGAACCTTGGGAAATAAGTCCTATTTATAGGTTTTTCCTTGGTACTAAGAGGACACTAAGTGGCCAAATAGAGAGAGGACATGTGTCCTAGAGGATCAAATGTAATATTCTGCCTTCAGCTAAAGGTGCCACGTGTCCCTCTGCATGTACTGTGTACTATCTGTTTGCCTCCGCAACTACCTTTTTTGAACCTCAGTAAGTGTAGTTGCGGCGGGGGTGTTTGCCGCTGCACTTGCCTTCTCAGTTTGAACCTCAGCAAGTGCACTTACAGCGGTAAACCTTGTTACTGTACTTGCCTTTTCAGTTCTACTTGGCTAGTACATGCATTCTCAAGACTCCATTAGTTTGCTATCGACTATGTTCGTGCTCACTTCAGCGAAACCTCCACCCTTAGTCACCTAACCACAAATTTCCCCAACTTCCCAGGGCGAAGGCCACAGCTAAGCCTGCTATCAACCATGTTGTGCCTAAGTACCAAGCCCAAGGGGGCTTCCTCAATCCTGCATGTGCGACTAAGGCAAGTCCATGACCTGGGTAATGGAAAGGGAGTCCCTTATGCTCAGGCTACCCTGCTCCCATCTTCGCGGGGTTGCCGCGGTAAACTGGTATTTCTGGGCCTGCTATCAGCTCCAACCAGTAAGTCTTGGAGCCTGCTATCAGCGCCAAGTTAAATGAACTTTGGGGAGGGGGCCTGCTATTGACCCTAGGCTAGTAATGCCTTAGGGCCTGCTATCAGCGCCAAACATTAGCCTCTACTTGCAGAGGGAGGCCTCTCTTAAAGGCTGCTATCACCTTGGTATGATATTCCCTCTGCAACTTAGTTGTTGCGGTCGTAGTTGCTACGGTAGTCATTTCCCGCGGCAAGTTCAGACGGCAGGACCGAAGATATTAGAGATGGCGGCGCCAACAGAATGCCCCCTCAA